TGTTTGGGGTTGATTTTTAAAGTAATAACTTTATACTTTTGAATTCTACTCAAGCAGATAACTGAAAAAATAAAAAATAAAAAAATTTTAAAATTTGAAAAAAAAAAATCTAGAAAAGACAACCAAAAAAAGCTAAAAATAGCTGACTTTTTATTTTGTTTTTTGTTTTTCTTTTGTCTTTAGTGTACATTTTTTGAATTTTTATTTTTATTTTTACTTTTTAAATTTATTTACACAAGACCGATTTCGGAAAAAAAAAAAATTGGCTCAAAAAAAAAATTATTTTTATTTTTTTGTTTCAACGAATAGGGCGACACCACGTCACTGAAAGTCGACCCCCACTGGAGGTCTGAACCAGGCCCTTTTACAAAATAGAGATGATCTGAAAATGAAAGCAACAATAAAGTTGGGAGGGAAAACAATTGACTATATGTTGGTGTTTGGGGTAGATTTTTAAAGTAATAACTTTATACTTTTGAATTCTACTCAAGTAGATAACTGAAAAAATAAAAATAAAAGAAAATTTAAAATTTGAAAAAAAAAATCTAGAAAAGACAACCAAAAAAAAGCTAAAAATAGTTGACTTTTTATTTTGTTTTTTGTTTTTCTTTTGTCTTTAGTGTACATTTTTTGAATTTTTATTTTTATTTTTACTTTTTAAATTTATTTACACAAGACCGATTTCGGAAAAAAAAAAAAACACTAAAAAAAAATCGAAAAATATGTGACTTTCTCAGTCCTCAAATAGGCGCCTGGGAATAGTATAGAATTGAATTCTAACAACTTTACACACATAAAAATTAGGGTAAATTATAAATATATCTCTTCAAATTTGATTAAAATACAAATCGTCTTCTGTAATTTTAGAAATTACATTTCATTCTTAAGATTTTTAATTTCATAACAAATCGTTATTTTGTTAATAAATCATTAAGTCAATTAACAATGTTTAATGATGTTAGAAATATGTTTTAATTAATAATTTAGGTAATTTTATTATTGTATAGGAAAACAATTATGCATTTTATTTTTTTTAGTTAATTCTGCTAAATAAATTTTTTTTGACAAGAGAGTATTTGTAATTTTTCAATCATATGGAACAATCTGTAATTTAAACAAATCTCATAAATATATTCGTAATTTTCTAAAAAATCTAATTATGGAATCAAACATTGAATATATATATAAATAAACAAAAAAATTAAAAATAAATTTCATTAATTAATTCTGTAGAATCATCAAATTTTTTAACTGCGAGATCGATTTCCATATTAATAATAAAATAATATTTGAATTCCATCAATTATCATATGTATGAACAAGGTTAAGAATACAAAAAAAATTCACCAAATATTTACCTGACACCTATACCCATGTATGTATAGATACTTTTATCTTTTGTCAATGACTAGGATGCTAATCCATAATCCACTAGGATTCTATCAATGACTAGGATGCTAAATTTATTGATATACTTCTCTATCAATGACTTAGATTCTATGCATTCGTTTGAGAAGTGATGGGGTTAAAATAGTTAAAAAAGTAATAAAATTAGTTAAAAAATTATATTTAAATTATAATTATTTTATTTTTTCTCTTCATTAAAATAATTAAAAAATTAAAAAATCAAAAAATCAACTCACATCTCTCTTTTTTGAACTCACATCTCTCTATAGTCCAATTCTTCATAACTTTGCCTTAATTTGACCAATGAGCAGTTAATGGCGGGATGTTTTACAATAACTTAAATTATTTGAAGGGTGATGTTAGGGAGCTCGAAAGCCTCCCCCAAATCCCCCTAATTTTTTTTTTTGTTTTGTTTCCAGAAGCAGATCCATTTTGAAAAAATAAATTTAATATATTATTTAGAAATTAAATTTATGATTATACTCTTATTTTTATTATGTTTCTTTCTCTTTTTTCTTTTGTAATAGAAAGATAAAATACACAATTTATGAGAATCAAGTTTGAGATAAATTTTTATATATGAATATTTTTTATTTAGAAAACATTTTAAAGGAGTACAAAAATGATTTAAAATATGAGATTCTTTGAACATTCTAAAAGGATGTGAGATTTTTTAAACATTTGAAGAGGAGTTCAAAAACTCCTTAGTAAGTTTTTGACAAATATATAATTTCAAACTGTAACACTCCAATGTAACACTAAAATATATCACTCCAAAAAAAATATTTAGTATACTTTTTTCAAACGTAATACTTTAATATAGCACCCCATAAAAACCCCTTAGTGTAATACTCAAATATAAAACTCCTTAGTGTAATTTTTTCAAACGTAATGCTTTAAAAAAAAAATGTGAGATTTTTCAAATCATTCCAAAAGGATGTGAGATCCTTCAAACTATTTCAAAAAGAATACAAAAATTTCTTAATAAGCTTTAGGTAAATATATAATTTCAAACTATGAGTGTTACGTTTGAAAAAAATATACTAATGAGCTTTTTATTATTTTTGTGTGTTATATTGGCGTATATTACACTGGAGTATTACGTTTGGGATTACATTGATTGAAATTTTACGTTTGAAAAAAGTATACTAATAGTTTTTTTTGTGTTACATTGGAGTTTTATGTTTGTGTAAAGTATCACTGGAAAGTTTTTTAGAGTGTTACATTTGAGAAAAGTACACCAATGAGTTTTTTAGTGTATTACATTGGACTGTTACGTTACTGAAGTGTTACATTATTGGAGTGTTACGTTTTTGTTTGTAATGTAGGATTTATTCCAGAATGAAGAAAAATCCAAAACCTCTATAATGCGGATTACCCAAATGTGTAATTTTTACATTCAAAGATTCACTTTTATTTCTAAAAAATTAAAGGGCAAATTACATATACACCCCTCCAGGTTTGGTTAAATTACAGATACCCCCCTGAGGTTTCGGAAATTACATCCCGCCCCCTGAGATTTGTATTTTCATAACAATTTACCCCCTGAGGTTTATATTTCATAACAAATTACCCCCTAATTTCTTATGCAAATATAGCATTCAGGGGGGAATTCGTAATTTCTCAAACCTCAGGGGGGTATCTGTAATTTTGCCAAACCTGGAGGGGTGTATATGTAATTTGCCCAAAATTGAACCCAAATATATAAGTAATTAGTATTTTATATAATTTCTATTTTAATAGGACTTTTGAATTTATAAAAAAAAATAAAAGACTAAAAAATTATTTATAAGATTCTATTTTGAGATAGTGATTTGCCTATAAATAACATTGAGATTTTGAACCATAAAAACTCAATAATGTTTTGTAATAATACTTGCAATTGGGTGTGTAAGTTGGACAGGTTCCATCGGATTGAATGGTTGCCGCCTTAGCTTGAATTATGATGAAAATTGTTCAAATTCAATCTCCAACGTGGACTAACTCACTTGATAATATCAAATAATATCTGGGCAAGACTTAAATTATCCAAAAATTTTAACTTTTTAATATTCTACTTTTTTTTTTCCCCTTCGCTATAGGCTAATTAATTTAACGATAAATTATAAATACACCTTTTAAAATTTACTTAAAATACAGACTGTCTCATAAGATTTGAAAAATTACAAATATCCATTGCTAAAATTTTTTATTTAACAAAATTAATTAAAAAAATAAAATTAATAATTATTCTCCTATATAATAATAAAATAACTAACAACTAACATTTACGGATCAAAATAACAATAATAATAATAATAAAATTACCTAAATTATTAATTGAAATTATTTTTAACATCATTAAAAACTGTTTATTGATTTAATGTTAAAAAGACGATTTGTTATGAAATTAGAAATTTCAAGAATGAAATATAATTTTCAAAACTACAAGAGCGATTCGTATTCTAATTAAACTTCAGGAAGCCCAATTGTAATTTATTCTTAATTTAATGTTAGTTAGATCTTATTAATATTTTTTGAAAAATGATACAAATCACTAATTAGTGATTGCATTAGGGATGTGACAGTGGGTCCCACCCACTATCACATGTGTTTTGTGTCTTAGTTTTTGTTTTGTTTTTTTTTTTACTTGTCACATCATTAGTAATGGTGTTAATAATAAAAATTTAATGATACGTAATATTGTTGATATTTTTTTAGATTAAATCATTAATACCGTCAAATCAAATAAATGATATGACGAGAGAGACGTAGAGGAGAGAAATCAGAATTAAGGAATAGTAGCGTCACTACAGTAGTCTTTGCCATTTCGGAGTTAGAAAAAATAATGAACCTAATAATTTTAAAAGTAATTATTGGGCTGTGATATTTATGTTTATGGAATACACCATGAATATGTTTTAAAAGTCTAAATTATTTTACTATTATTCAACAACTAATAATTTTATAGATATACTTAATATTTATATATATAATTTAAGCTTTAATTGCTGAGATTGGTGGATTTTTTGTTCAAACTTGATTTAAATTTAATTCAAACTTTTAAACTTTTGTTCAAGTCTACACAAAATTAAAAAATATATTATCCAAACTTTAATATTTTTTAAATAAAAAACTCGGGTTATACCTGGGCAAAATGAACCCTTATCGGCCAGTTCCACATGGCTTCGATTGGGAAGAAGGATTGGGTTAGGTTTGAGACTATTTTAGTCACAAAAAAATAAAATAGACTTTCTAGTCCAATAAGATAAAAATATTACATCAAATCTATAATTATTACATTCTTTCTCTCACAAAAAATTAAAAAATTAAAAAAGTCTTTCTCAAACAAAACTTTTTAGCCCCAAGTTAAAATAGTTAAAAAACTAAAAAGTCAAAAAAATCAACCCACCTCCCAAACAAACCCAATCACTTTGTTTGGCTTTAAAGTTACAAGTGAATAATTTTCCCTTATGAAATAAATAACAAAATACAAAAAATAAAAATTTCAAAAATTATTTGTTAAAAAACTCAAAACAAGTGCATAATTTTCCTTTCAACACATGTTAAAGAATTGTTCGGCCTCACGTTTAAATGGAAGGTTGTTCATTCAATACACAACTCTCTCTCTCTCTCTCTCTCCAAAACTCTCTCTTTCTCTTCCAACCATATTATAAGCACGAAAACCAGCCAACCCTATTAACAGCCTCCCCGTAGTCCCGTTGGTCCGTAGGTCCATTTCTGGCAAATCAGAATCTGACTCACCCCACCTCTCTCTCTCTCTCTCTCTCTCTCCTATATATATATATATATACACCCCCTAAATCTCGATCCTCCTACACAAACAATCCAAACACTCCAAAAAGTCTCAAACCATGGTGGTTCCAAACCCATCTTCATCCGCCATTTTACCCTCCTATTCCTACTCATCGCTTCCCGATGCGGCCGATTCCGACGCCGGAGCTCCGGCGAATCGCCGCCGTGTCCTCCTGCTATCTGGGTTGGTGACAATCGTGACCCTGGTGGCTTCTGTAACTTACATTGGTTTCGTTTCGAGGTGGGACTCGGAGCTGCCGGAGGCCATCAAGCACCAGCGTCCTCCGCCGCTTACGCTGCCGCGTGGGGTGGCGGAAGGCGTCTCCACCAAGTCCCATGGCCTCCGTCTGGGGGTCGCATCTTTTCCTTGGACCAATCGCATGCTGACGTGGCAGAGAACATCCTTCCATTTTCAACCTAAAATTAATTGGATGAACGGTATTTACTTACTTTTAATTTCTTTTTAATCAATCTGGTATATGCGCTTATCCACCCAAAAAAATCTAGTAGATAGATACCACCTAGGAGAGATTTATTATTTTGTATTTTATAATAAAAATAGTCATATAAACCATTTATATGTAATATTAGAGAAATTTATGCACAATAAAATAATAATTAGTAAAAAAAAATGGTATTAAATAAATTTCATATAAAATTTTTGGGCATAGAGTTAGGAAATGAAAAAAATTAGACTACAACCACACATAGAAAAATTTTAGATTACCAAAATAAATTAAAAGACACAAAATAATTTCAGTCATTTTTTAAAATTCTAAATTATACAAAAATATACCTGCCTAACCTCAATAAAATAATAAAACCGTTACATAGCAAGACCTAAAATTAATTGGATGAACGGTATTTACTTGCTTTTAATTTCTTTTTAATCAATCTAGTAGACGCCTATCCACCCAAAAAATCTAGTAGATGCCACGTAGGAGAGATTTATTTATTTTTTTGTTTTTATGAACGGGAGAGATTTATTATTTGAAAAATTTACCCATAAGTCCTAGTTTTTGAAAAGTTGAACCATTTAGTCCTAAAAGTTTTCTTATGCTCCATTTAGTCCCATTTGCACATCAATCTAATGTTTGAAACATTAATCTGATGTTTGAAATCTAATGTTCGAAACATTAATCTGATGTTTGAAATCTAATGTTTGAAACATTAATCTGATGTTTGAAACATTGTAATGGGACCTTTCAGTCTATAAGAAAACTTTTAGGACTAAACAGTGTATAAGTTATTAATTTGAGATTTATTGGTGCATCCCCCTTATTATTTTGTATTTATAATTTAACAAAAGAATAATTTGATAAAAAGTTTATTTATTTTACATTGGAGTCTATAGAGGAGGAGGATTTTCTCCGGTTTAAAATTTAAGGAGATTGTTTGGATTAGTAGAATTTATTATGGGTCTCGTTTTAATAATTTAAATTGTTCATTTTGTCGGAATTTCGTGTATTTCATTAATAAAATAAATTAAATCGATCCAATAATTATAATTTGTTCAATTTATTATTTTTGTCATAAAAAAATATATGATTTATTTTTTAAAAACACAATCGTCATTTATTTTTTTAATAAAAAATATGAAAAATTGAACAAGTTATAACTATCGGGTCGATCTAATTTATTTACAAATAAAATATACAAAATAATTAATAAAATAAATGATTCAAATCGTTAAAATAGGACCCGTGTGACAGCCAATCAGGCCCTTCAATCCTCCTCCATGTAAATAAAGACACGTTACTTAGGAAGATATCTTGTTTGACACTTTCTATTTATGTGATTCTATTCAATCATTAAATGAGACTCGGTAAAAATGAGATTATCCCTTATAACACGTTTCTTTTATCTGTTTCATTCAATAAAAGGCGTTTATGGAATAAAGAATTAGGATTGACCAAAAAAAAAGCCTAGAGACCATTCCCAGTTTTGCTATGCTTGTTGTGATTTAATAAATTATAATAAAATCAATGATACGTAGCAATTTTTTATTTATAGTTTTTGAAGTTTGAGCACACATTGATGCAAGAATTGTTAAGATCAACAATGATAAACTCTTCTAAATTAATGAATTATAATGAACTCTAATGCCATGAAAAGTAAAAAAAAAAAAAATAAAAATACAGGACACATACATTACTATTACAGTGACACTCACACTCTACTAGAGCTATTAGAACTCTTTTATTAGAGTTTTAAAATATTTTTATTGTTAAGATTTAGGGAGTAAGATTATTATGAATGGTTATTGGATTGACAGAATTTTTGAAAAGTGAGTTTTAGGCTAAGTTTGGGATGTTAAAAAAAAATCAAAAAGTAAAAAGTCACTATCCTATTTAAGGGGTTGTTCGGGGTGTCCTAAATAAGTGCACTTTTTATCTTTTTAGACTAAAAAGTTGAGGAAAAAAATATGAATGTTTGGGTTAACTTTTTGACTTTTTATGGAAAAATGTGTAATAAAAAATTATAAAAATTAGTTTGTGGAGGAAAATTAGGATGGAGAGTTGTGCAACCGTAATTGTTGACTTTTGCTGAATAGTGTTAACTTTTTAACTTTTTGACTTTTTTTAAGTATCCCAAACTTGGCCTAAGTCACATCATCTTATATAAGTCACATCACCTTTCTATCACATCACTTCAAATTCAACTCATATTT